GGGGGGTCCCAGGACGTGTAGTTTATTTAGCCCTGGAGGGTTGAGGGTCAGACAAGGCAGCCTCCCAACCTGTCCATCCACTTCAACCTTGGCCGCGGTGGTTACGCGCCACGAGAGTTAAGGCTATCAAGGAGTGATCGAGTGGAGCGTATTTGTTGTTGGTTATTCTGGGTCCTTTGATTTTCTTTGATTTTCTAGAAGCGTGCACGCTTTGTTTAGGTAGCTGACCTGTGACCACGGCAGGCGATCCGCGCCAGTCGGAACCAGCACCGATGTCAGAAGGAACCAAACAGAGACCAGAATACCTCGGTCGTGCTTTTCTCATCTCACCCGCTTCTAATGTACCTTGGCCTCCCGAAGCCCCCCCCTTGCGGCCCATGGCCGTCCTCATCGTCCTCGCACGGCTCGCGGTAAAACTGATGCCGTTTGGGGAGTCCTCTAGTCCCGTGCCACTAGCTCCCGCCAGCGAAAGCGCAGCCCTTAACCTCACCTCGATCCTTTGAGGGCACCATCCGTAACGGCAGAGGAGCATCGGTGGAGGTTGTGCACGAACGATAAGTAGCAGTAGCTCATGCTTGTGCTGGAATACTGTTTTAAGCGGAGAATTGGCTAAATCTAGGAAGGTGTAAGTTTACGCGTGCGTTGCTTGGGTTTAGCTGGCCTGTGGGCACCACGGACGTTCGTTGCTGCCCCTGTTCGACCGGTTCTACCACTGCTGTTGTCGAGAAACAGCAGGGAAGACGTTTCTCTTTACGTCGGCACAACTTTGCTAGGAAAAATAAAAGCGTAAGCAACTTTCCGGGGCAGTCAGGTAACGGACAGTCAGGTTCGGTGAACAAAATTTCGGGCAAAAATAAGCTCACAATATTTCGTCGATGTTCGAACCACACGCTTGGAAAAAAAAAAACTTCGACAGGCCTCTGACCATATTGCACGTGATGCTTTTTCGCCGAGCGTGACTATACCTGTGTTTCCACCACTCACCAAGCTACTACGAAAATCACGAAGCCAGGCTCGCCAACCCCGATTACCCCATGACGAAAACGAACCCAACGTACGGAGACCAACAACGCGTTAGGCAACAATCAAACCAAAATCTCCCCTCCGCTCTCACCTGTTGGCCAAGAACGCCGCCAGGCCGAATCCGTCCATGTCCCTCAACCACGGAAGCTGCTTCCAAACCTCGTCCCCCGTCAGGGCCGCGACCGCTGGCTCTCTTCCCGCCCCTCTCCCCCGCGTCAGGCCTTTCAGAGACCCCTCCCCCACCGGGAAACCCGCATTCGTCTTCCTCCCGCCGTGTGCGGCCGCCGTCTTCCCTCCCCGGCTGCTGCTGCTGTGCTGCTGTCGTGCACCGGCACCGGCCTTTTCCACCCCAGACGAGTTCGCCGAAGCTTCGGGCTCGTCGTCGCGGAGGTAACGGCCGCGGGAAACGGCGTCCATCGCCAGGAAAAACGCCTCCGAGTCTCGTAGGAAATCCTCCGCAAAGGTCACCGCCGCCGGGGGGTTTCCGTACGCTAGCGCGGCATTCTCGATGGCGGTTTCTGCGGCGAGAACGCGCCCCGGCGGCGGGGAAGGATCGTCGTGGCAAGCACGATCGAATGTGGTCGCGTGGAAGGACGCCCTGCTGTTGGTTTGGGTGGGTGCGGCGGAGGGCGGCAGCGCTGGTGAAAAAGAACCAAGCGCCAAGTGCGCCGCGGACGCTGCTATTTTCGCGTGGCGTGACAGAACAAACAAACGGCTCGTTGGGGAGTGCGCTGTGGACACCGCTGTCTTCCCGTGGTGTGGCGAGGACCTTGGTTCGTTTTGGCTTGTGAGGCCATCGGGAGAGCTAAAGTGCGTCACAACCGCGTGTCCGCTCTCGAACCAAAGATTCTTGTCATATCCGAGTAACTTTTGCCTTCAACATCGTCTTCGGAAAGTAAACCTGCTACAGTCTCACATGCTGCGCTAGGACATTCGTACTGGCTGTTATAACAGCTAACCTAAAAAGCACCTGTTTTACCCGCCATCTAGAAGGAGAAAATTGGCACAAACAACAATTCCCTTCTTTCCTCGGACCCGCCGCACAATTCAACAGCCCTCGCTGCTTTTCCCGATGGCCGTCGTTATCGCGGCAACAAGCGCAGTGAAACTGACACAACCGCCTTCCACAACCACTGCGTTGAACTTTGGCACAACCAACGACTGCTGTGCATACCTGGCACCGCCGAGAGCCGGTGACTGCACCTCGAACCGAACCTTCTGCCCCGGAAAGGCCCTCCTGTCCAGCCTCGCCGCCATGTTGGCCGCCAGCGCGCACCACGCGCGGTCCTGGAAGGTGAGGATCCGGGACCGCTCCCCGACACCCAGCGAGGCGAACCACGCGGTCACCCTTCTCCGGAGGGGGGGGGGCTCCGCGGACTTGTTGGTGGTGTCCTGGGGGGCGTCGTGGTGTGTCGCTCCGCCGGTGGGTGTAGGTCGGGGGAGCCCCCCCTTCGGAGGGTAAGCACAAACACAGGAGGAGTAATGAGGGAACTGAGGGTGTGGGGTGTTGGGCAGGAGGTAACGTTAAGCGCCATTTGGGTGAGTGTCTTGGGAACCCAGAATGCATGAATCTACATGCACCTTTGCGTACAAATAACCAAAATCTCCTTGTGGCGTATCTCCTTTTATTAATTAGCATCGCGACCGTAGCCGCCATAGGCATTACATTTAGCAGTTCTCAAAACGAAATGGACACGCTCGTTGAGGGACAAAATAAAGTCCTCGTCACCGCTGGGGGAGGCAAGAAGGCTAAGTTTAAATGGAGTTAACTGAATGATTTGGCGAGAGTGATGAGCGAAAAGTCTTTTTCCTCATTCGTGTGCCGGAGGACGAAAACCAAAAAGAACGAAGAAAAACCCAAGAATATTGGGCATACCGGCACGACCCTTCGGTGGGATGTACAGGAACATGCATGCAACACCTAACCGAACACCTGGACAGTTCCGTCCAAAACGATTCAACAAAGGACATCGTGCTGGGTTGTCGTCCAGCAGCGACATGTGATTCCGATTTGGTCGACGGAAGAACTAAAGCCCGTACCCAAGACAGACCGGTATGGGATACAGTTACAGACTTTCCCACTGGAGGCGACGTGGTGGGCCGTGCAGTGCTACAAACAAGCCTTCGGGATGTTCAACTCGAGATCCATGGCTTGCCTGGCAGGGTGAGTTAAGAAAATGAATACCTACAGACAGAGAGCGCTGGTATAGGTGTCAAGTGTGGAAAAACTTAAGGCTTCAATGCGATGCATAGCAAGGTTCAAACAAGAACGTGTATTGGATTTTCCATGTTTACTTGGTTTTATCTACGGAGTGCAGACATAGAAGGTAAACACCATCAATTGCGGCGTCGCAGCTCTCGACTACAAGTAAGTCTACGCGATCCGCAGTTCCTCCTGCCCATCGCTCGACGATTCCCAAATCAAGAACCCGAGGCAGGCGCCGACGGTACTACTATGCATGCGGTGCCCCGAACGCAAACAAGTAGAATTTCTATGTTTACCTCGTATTGTAGAGTGTCTGGGTCCTTTGCTGCACGTTAGTGAACATAGTGTGATTCAACAACCCGCGCCAGTTTTGACGTCCGGACTGCTGTGGACATAACTGGCATCCACACAGGGGTGTTGCCTAATGGGCCAACAATCAGTGAATGAATGCGGTAGGTGACGAGATGCATGAGAGAGCTAAATAGTAAGCGAGTGGGATACGCCGCCCCCTCCTTGAACGCACACGAAAAGCAGTCACATCTATTTGCGGCGGTAGAGTTCGCACAGCAAAGGGGATAGACGACTCCAGCAAATGGCCTTGTCTTTGAGGCAACCAACTCCAGGCAGCACTACACGCTAGGAAGATGTATACATGTAAGGGAGTAGGGAGGAAAGACCGCAACAAACCACTGGCCTTGTAGCCTGACTACGCATACACGTTCAAGCCGTATCAAGTACCAGTACCAAGGGCTCAAAAAAAAAGGAGAATATTGGCAACTGAAGGGCCAGCAGCTGTTTGAAGTTTAGTGTGCATTTTCGGTAGCCGTAGAGCAGAAAAGTCTAGAGAGCAATAGACAGCGCCTGTATGTGCCCTCTTGGTAAACACGACGTCCAGGTTGACGTCTTTGCGGGGTAACACCTCCAAACTTGAATTTCGGGCTTGTTGGTAACCACTTGCCCATACCTGATTGCTGGCATCCTCGATGCTCGAAGCATGCCGCAGATTCCCCGCAGTAGTGTCGTGTCTATCGGAATTCATACGATGCTCTGGGGCCGACCGCTCTCTTGCTTCTGCAGCACTACGCCGAGAGCTGCTGCAGATCAACCACAACATCAGACACAGACAGAACCGCGGCGCTTCAGCAGGGGGATACACAGCTTGGAATGAAAGCCTTCCCCACACTCCGCTGCCCAAGGGAGGTGGTGGCTGGCCTCTCGACACATGACCCAGCAACCCTTACGGCACCACTCCCTCCCCACACCACACACCATCTTCGCCGCGATGCATGCCTCCAGGGTCCTGTGCGTTGCCACCGCGGTAGTGTGCCTGGTGTCGACGGCCGCTGCTTTCGTTGCGAGCGGCGGCGCACATGCGGTCCGAACGCGAGCGGCCACGTCCGCTAGACACCAACATGTGCAACCAGCAATCCAGCAGCGGGGTGTTCAGGCGCTTGGCGCATCGAAGGACGGGGCAGGGGAAGAGGGGGGGTTCGTCAACCCATACACTGCGTTCAGGAAGTGGCAAATGGATCTGGTGAGCAGCAGCGTTTTTGTGCCGTTCTGTTTCAGGCTGTAGGCTATTACCGCGAGCGGCATGATACCAGCTGGTTCGGTCTTCGAGTCAGCATGCCACGCGAGTAGCGTCTCACCTTCCCTCCTCTCGTCGTTTCCATCTGTTGAATGCATGACCTGGAGCACAACAAAAAATCGGCATAGGTGATATTATCTTCATGCTGGAGGGCTCGCCCCGGTTCATTCATGTTTCTTTACCGTAGTTTCGAGTCTTTTGTTTTGTTATGTTTTCATGACAGACCGGTATGGTACACCGAAAGACTTGAGCAGCAAACGTCCTCCACAGGTACAAGAACATGATTGCTGCTGTTCCGTGTACAGGCGCAACGCAATTTCGGTTGGGTCTTTTTTTGTTGCGTACTACTGCTGTTTCCTACTGCGAAGGCGCTCTATAGGCTCTAGTCTATACCGTTCCATGCGTGCGCGAGTTCACTCACTGCAGAAGCTGGTCATCTGTCCCACCGATGCAGCGAGGCCGCCTAGACCACGGCGTCGACACCCCGCGTGTCACCTGACTACAGCGAGGCCCGTTTACACCCGCTTTTTGAGGCAGAATGGTTTGAAGGACATGTCTAAACGTAGCGGCTAGTCTACGTGACGATGTTATGATGTGGTCCTTGGCAAACTTAACCCATGTCGCAACAATGCCTAATGCCGAGGCCGAGGACACGAGTCCGCCGTTCCTATTTCGTTCGTAAGTACCGTATTTCTGAGCAGTTTACGACACCCGCATGTGCACAGCCTACGCGCAGAAATTGCAAGTCTGTCGAAAGAATAGAGAAGGAGGGGTTCGTAGACGTTAACCCCCGAAATTCCACCAATCCTAAACTTGGTCCATGTGTTTGCTGAATGAAAGCAGAGCGCGGGAACATTCGAGACCTCGGGTGTTCTTGTATGAAAGACAACCGGCCCAAGCTCCGTGTCCTGTCTTTGCAACAGAGAAACTCTGCTCGTTGCGAAGAGTGCAAATCACGACTGCAGCGTGGGGGGAAAACCGGTATCTGCTTCTTCATATTCGCCCGGCCGTTCGTTTTGCCCCTCGCATTCCTCCTGACTTGACTTGACTTGTCCAGATCGAATCTAAAGCGAAGGGCGATGAGAAGTACCCCGAGGCGTTCGCCGGGTTGATGAAGGAGCCTGGAATGACCACGTGAGTCGTTTGTTTGCAACGTTGCCGCCCCCCTGCGCGCTGTCGAAAGACATCTGAGCACGGAGGACCAAGTGCGCACACAGGGTGACTAATGAACCTTGTCTGCTCTGAGTTTTTCGCACCCTAGCCGGCTTCCATGTTTGCCCATCCCCTGCGGTTCTCGACGAAGTGCTTCCGACACCCAACCTTTGCGCGTTTTCCCAGGATCCCTCCTTGGGAACCCTCGTGTGCATGTTTGTGTCGTGGGTTTGAGACGAGAGGTATGAGGACCCAACGTCTGGTTTAAGTTTTCACGTTTGGCGGTCCCTCGTTGCAAAACCCTCGTGTGCATGTTTGTGTCGTGGGTTTGAGACGGCAGGTAAAAGGACCCAACATCTGGGTTATGTTTTCACGTTTAGCGGCCTCTCGTTGCGAAACCCTTGCGTGCATGTTGTTGTGGTTGGGTTGAGACGACAGGGAGAAGGCCGAGCGCTTGGCCAAGCTGTCGGTGAGCGACCCTATCCTGTACGCCATCGAGCGCCGAAGGGAGGCGAACGAAATCAACCAGACCAAGGTGCGCTAGCTGCCCAACGGGGTCGGCTGTCTAGTTACGGTAGCTTGCATGATATGCCACACCCCTTTGATCGATTAACAAAGCTCGAGTACCCCCGAAACGAGGAGGATGCCAACATACAAATGATACGTTCTTAAAAATATCTCCATGTGTGAAAAAAATTCGATGTGAAGGTCCCAGCACCACCATTTCTAGCACAGTCAGCCTGTGTGCTGCAGAGAAATCGGGATTTGAATATAGGTTCAGGGTGAGTGATATATTTGCAACCTACGGTAGCCACCCGGCAGCAGAAAGCTTTAACTCACTCGAAAGCACAACGTTTCCCATATGGTGCTATGCTTCTGTAGTAGTAAATAACGGATGCATGACGAGCACCCTGGTTCGAGAAAAAGTGGGTTGTGAACGCATCGCTCGCGCGAACTGTGTGTAGTCCATCTCTCCCGAAATACATGGTGAGTTTTGGAACGCTTCCAAGTTGTCGGGGGGCCCGCAGGAACTTTTTTCGGGCGGCCCGTAGGTCGCGGAAGAGGGGGTAGGCCCTGCGCTGCGTTGCTTAATATGGGCACGTAAGGCACGGTAGCTCTCGGAAGAAACTTTGGGAACAACGTTGGGTTCTTGCCCCCACTGTAGATGACGGGAAGCGTGTGTCTCGTCGAAGGACACAGCAGCTGCACAACAGTAGCGGTAGATTGGTCCTACTTATGCGTGTTGGTTTCACAGTTCTTCCCGTTTAACTTCGAGGAAGAGAGTGCTCCACTCTTCTCGCGCAAAGGCAAGCACCGCGAGAGGGGTGGGTAGGGGCCTCATTGGGAGGAACCCTTCTGTGTGACTGATCACGAGCTGGAGCTAGAACAACTCCTACCCGGCAGCAATGCTGTGAACGCTCATGTAAAGTACTGAAAAAAACAAATGTCCAGCGATGTTCGCGGGAGACGTTCGTTCCCCTCTCGCGGTCTGTGCGGGTGGTTCCTCCCTCTCCATTGGGGGCGTGGTGTGGAGCTTGAAATCGATACGGCCCTTCCTGAAGCAACGAGAGTTGGGAGCGGTAGCTTGGCCTGGTAATCGATTAGAAGAGCCAATGGCGGTATGCAGCACTCCTTCTTTCTCTGTCGCTCTTGTGTGTGAGTGACACCCAGCTGCCGTTTTTACATTTTAACAGATGAACTACGACAAGGTTCTGGGTTTTTCCCCATTTTCCCCATCGCTTGTGTGTGTGCGTGACACCCGGTTGCCGTTATACCAGATGGACTCCAGTAATATATCTGGATTTCCCCCCATTCGCAATCGCTTGATCTTGTTAATGTGTGTGATACCCGGCCGGCATTTTTTGCAGATGGACTACAACAAGATATCTGGGTTCTTCCCCATGGAGTGGATCTTGTCCGGGGACTTCGGGTGGGGTTTCAACAAGAAGAAGAAGCGGTTGGCCGAAGAGGAGGCAGCGCGGAATGCTGGCAAGAAATAAAAAATCAGTCTCTCGATTTTGTGGGTCTGATAACTCGATTTTTGTTGTGTTGGGACCACAAGTTTGTCTTGTGCGACTGAAATTTTGTCGGGAGGACAGGGCGTGTGGACACTTGTTTGTTCTCTTTGATGCTTCGATATAGGGTCCGGCGCAGGTGTAGTACAACCAAGATGGGCTCCCGGGCCGGTTGGTTTTCCGTGATACTTTCCGTGCATGCCCAAGCTTTGAAGCGGAGCGGCTGTGCATGCACCCCTGCGCCGCGGCCGTCGGTTTCACGGGCCTCTCACGACGGCATGACGGGGGGTATGGGAAGGAGTTGTTTTGAAGTTGGGCGCAAATGTTTTTCAGCCGTCGTTGCTACCGTTGCAGTCGTGGGGGGGGGGGGGGGGGGGGG